TAACCGACCTAGTGCAACACCGTCTGGACATTGCTAAGGAGCTGGGCGCCACTCACACTCTGCTGCTGACGCGTGATGAGACAGCTGAGCAGGTCGCAATCCGTGTGCGTAAGGCAATGGGGGAGGAGCCCGACATGTCGATTGACTGCTGTGGAGCGGAGAGCACTACACGCTTGGCGATCTTTGTAAGACCCCAACTGATGTCTGTTATTTGAATTCGTTCTAAGACTACGTTCTTTCTTACGTCAGGCTACACGGGCTGGAGGTGTTGTTGTTATCGTTGGCATGGGACCACCTGAAATGAAGCTGCCTCTATTCAATGCCCTGGCTCGAGAGGTCGATATTCGTGGTGTCTTCCGTTACTGCAATGAGTAAGTAAAAGCGAAAGTCTTTATCTAAACTTACGTGTTAACAAATTCCTTGTCATTGTAGCTATTCCGCTGCTTTGGCTCTGGTAGCCTCTGGCAGAGTAAATGTAAAGCGGCTTGTCACCCACCACTTCGATATTAAGGAGACAGAAAAGGCATTCGAAACAGCTCGTAATGGTACGGGCGATGCCATCAAAGTTATGATACATGTCCAACCTAGGAATACCAACAATCCTGTAAAATTTTAGCTCAAAGATTTCAGTAAGCACTGGGATATATTTCTGAAAACATGTAATAAGTAGTTTTAGAAGAAAAAATAAATTTATTTGCTTGGTACAAAATTAACCGTTTGTTCTTATAGTTTCAAAATTACATTTGCATTTTATGCGCTTAGTTTCGGTAGTTTAAATTAGGACTCAAGCAAAAAAATAAAAATAAAAAAAAAGCCGCACAAAATGTCCAACATGCTGTATTGGCGGTTATCTCGACCTCTTTACACCTACTTATCCGTTAGATTTGTTTGTTATCGTCCACTGGCTCCAATGATCCGATACTTTCATGAAGATAAGACTGAGGAGTTTAAACAACGACTGCGACAACGAATGAAAAAGAATGCTGAGCTAAAAGACGATGCTGCTAAGGTCAAGCAAAAAGCATCCCCTACCACCATAGCAGAGTCCGCTAGCTTATCTAAAGTTAACGAAACTAAGCCACCGACCAGTATTAATGTAAATGAGAGCAGTCCAAATCTATATGGTGTTGAGTGCCCAATCCAACTAAATGCCGACTCTGATTGTTCAGGGGTTTCCAGCTCCGTGATTCCAAATCCATCTCAAGATAAGGATATCGAGTCGAGTGTGGAGACGTTTGAAATCAGGGCGAAAACATTTGTTGAATCAGCCAAACATAAGGAAAAGGAATCTGAGCGCCCACAAGCTGAACAGGCCTCAAAAAATAGTCAGAAGAAGAAGCCAAAGCTTTCCCCAAGTACTTCAACACCAATTCATTTGGAAAGTGTCGACTCACCTAAAATAGATTCCCCTGATCCACTGAAGGAAAAAAGTAAAAGTTTTTCTCTATTTAGACCTGAAATACAGAACGAAACTGGTTTAAAAATATCAGCAAAAGCTAAGAAAACATCGGGGTCTCAAAAAGATTTCAAAAGCTATGGACTAAACGAATCAATTAAAATTGAACCTTTTAACTCAAATCAAAGCGTTTCGCATGATTCAGGGAATCAAAAGGGTAAAAACTTTAACCTATCAAGAACTCAAGTAAATAAGGAAACGGACATAATATCAACAAAAACTGGGAAAACTGTAGAGTCTTTAAAGGACCTTAGGAGCGAAGGCGGTAAAGATTCATTTAAAACTAAATCTCAAATCCCATGGGAAGGAATGTTCGATCACTATACTGATCCCTATATTTCTAAGACAAAGTTGCGAAAAGAAAGCGATGAGAAAGCTGAAAGTTCCAAAAATAGGGAATCCAAGAATATGTCTATGGATGGGCCAAAGGGGCAAAGCAAGATTGAAGAAAATAGAATTGAACAATTATCTCAGGCAGAAGCGGAAGCGGAAGCGAAAGCCGAAGTGAAAGCTAACGTGAAAGCCGAAGCGAAAACTGAAGCGAAAGTCGAAACGAAAGTTGAAGCGGAAGCCGAAGTAGAAGCCGAATTGGAAGAAGAGATGAAAATAGAGCCCAAAGCTGAAGCGAAAGCGAAAGCTAAGGAAGAAACAAGGGCTAAAGTGGAAGCAAAAGCTATATCGGATGCAGAAGCACGAGCTAAAGCGGAAGAGAAAACTAAAGCAGAAGTGAAAGCTAAAGCGGAAGAGAAAACTAAAGCAGAAGTGAAAGCTAAAGCGGAAGAGAAAACTAAAGCAGAAGTGAAAGCTAAAGAGGAAGAGAAAGCTAAAGCCAATGCTAAAGTCAAAGCGGAAGCTAAAGCTAAAGCAGAATCGAAAGCTAGAGTAGAAGCGAAGGCTAGAGCGGAAGCAGAAGCTAAAGCTAAGGCGGAAGCTAAAGTTAAAGCGGAAGCTAAAGCTAAAGCAGAAGAGAAAGCTAGAGTAGAAGCGAAGGCTAGAGCGGAAGCAGAAGCTAAAGCTAAGGCTGAAGCTAAAGCTAAAGCGGAAGCAAAAGCTAAAGCAGAAGAGAAAACTAGAGCAGAAGCGAAGGCTAGAGCGGAAGCAGAAGCTAAAGCTAAAGCTAAAGCGGAAGCAGAAGCTAAAGCCAAAGTGGAAGCAGAAGCTAAAGCTAAAGCGGAAGCAGAAGCTAGAGCTAAAGTGGAAGCAGAAGCTAAAGCTAAAGCAGACGCGAAAGCGAAACTAGAAGCAGAATTGGTCGCCGCAGCTAAAGCAGAGGCTGAAGCAAGAGCAGAAGAAAAAGCTAAAGCGGAAGCGATTGAGAAACTGAAAGCGGAATCGGCGGCCGCAGCAAAAGCAGTAGCCGAAGCCAAAGCGGCAGTCAAAGCAAAATTCAAATTAGAAGCAAAGGCAGATCGTGCTCAAAATGAAATTAAGTCTCAAACCAAAGTGAAGGCTTTGAATGAAACAAAAGGCATACAAGGACAGAGCAAAAGCAAGTCTGAAGAAGCTAAACAAGGTACAGAAAATGCTTTGAGTTCTAATAGCAAAATTTTAAATTTAAAGAATAGCACAATCCATAAGGAAACTAAACAAACACAACAAGCACAACAAACATCAACGAACACAAATTTGGATACCAAAGGCAAAACTGAACCGGCACAATCTCAAACAATTTCAGACGCTGAAGGCAATAAAATATTAGTAAAAGGTGCAGTAAACGAGCTGTTTAGAGGTGAGGCTGACTCAACGAATGTTCAGAAGCGATCCACTTTTAAGACAAGCAAATGGAATGTCAAACACCTTTTTAAGGAATCAAAATCGAAGAAAGAGATTAAATCTCCTAAGGTGGAGAAAAACTATAAGCCTATTTTCAAGCCTTCTCAAAACAGGCTAGAGACGAAATCAATTATATTAATCAAAACTGTACTGGATAATTCCCAGAGCTCCACTAAAAATAGGGACGGATTATCCAAATCAAAAGTCTCTCAGAGCGCAACAAGCAACGTATCGACCACATCTGAGAACGAAACTAAATCTACTAAAGCTGAAAAGCCCTTTCTTAAGAGTAAGCCTTCTCAAGGCCAGTCAAGTATATCAATCAAATCTGTATGGAATACAAAGGACTTTGCAAAGAGTTCACTTAAACAAACATCTAGCAATGATGGCGGACCAATAAAATCAGAGAATGAAACTAAAACTATTAAAGTTGAACAAAATCTTAGGAAAGAGCTTAATCAGGGTCCCCTGACCACGGATAATCCCAAGAACAGCATAAAATCTAAAGAAGGATATCCTCAGAGTGTGTCAAGCAAAAAGAGCGGAACAACTAAGTCTGTGACACCACAAAATAAATCGGGTACCAGTGCTAACATTGAGAAGTGGCTATCAAGAGCTAAGCAACTAAAGGATACCCAAGAAAGACCCTTTTGGAAGAAAACGAGCGCAGTAGATTTATTTCGCGAAGCCTTCAAACCAAAAGATCCGTCTATTCACCCTAGCAAAGAAACGAAGACCAACAGCCCTAACAGTTCCAAGAACCCTACATCTTCTTCATCGACAGTTATCAAGGATTCGTTTGAGCCGATCGATCCCGTGAGGCCTTCGTCTACTTTAGATCATAAAATCTCGGATGATACAATCAAGGCTAAGCCAATTGATTTAGTTGCATCAGGCAGTTCAGTTGTAAATAGTGGACAGACTCAATCAAAGCGCATTTTTAGTCCAGATAGTATCAACGTAGATTTTACCAAAAGTGGACCAAGTTTAAATCAGGCCGTTTCATGTGATACAAAACCAGAGACTACATATTACGGATTCAAATCCCCTGAGGACAACAAAGCCTTTGACAAAACTGAAAATAAGAAAAACAACACCGTCGAATCGCTTCTCCTAAGCAACACCAAGAGCTCATATAAGCCAAAGCCAAAGACATTTAAACCTCGTCCGATCACAATTGGTGACATTATCGCAAAACTTAGGCAAAGAACTAAAAACGAAAAGTTTAGGAAAGAGAACATTCAAAATCTAACTGAAAGTAGCAAGGCTAGAGAAGATTCTGCGCCTGGTAAAGGGAACCTTACCAAGTCATCTCTTACTGGAACGCCAATCGACAAATTCTCTAAAAAGCCAGTAAGTGATAATACATGCGCTCAATTAATCTCCAATGCAATAACAAGTAATACAATCACTAGTAAAAGAGCAAATGAAACCCCTTTTGAATCTATTGATATTGATCAGAGCTATTTCTGGCCACCGTCTCACTCGGTGGGGAATTCGGATATAGGAACCACTACAACATCTTACCCAAAAACGCAGTGTGTTGCTTCTGATGAGATTCAGATTCATAGGAGCTCAACGAATGCAGATGTAACAAATTTAGGAAAGTTTGTAAATGTTGACCAAAATGATATTTTAGACACAAATAAAATTGTAAATAAGGAACCGACAAAGATAACCAATATGTCAACGGATGACTTCTCTCCAGATAAGCTATATAATTCCAAAACAGAAGGTGAAGACCGCATCCCAGATATGTTAGGTGTTCAGGTGGAAGAGGAACCATTTAATTTAATGCCCATCAACAAACCAGCGATCGGTACCAAAAAAAAAGCAGTGAAAAAGGTCGCAGATAACAAAAAAGTACAAAATGAGTCCGTACAACCAAAACCAAATCAAAAAGATAAAGATCATGTTGCAGGTATGTTAGATAATAGAGGAGAGAAGGGATTGGAAAAGAAAAAGTCCAGATCAGACAAGGATACAGAAATTGAAGTAGAGAAGAAAATGGAATTGTTTGAACATGTGAAAGATGAAAAAAAACAGATAGAGCTGACTAGTCTACCAAAACGTAAACTGACGCTCACAGAATATCTATATCAGTTTCTTAAAGGTCAGCGGAATAGCGAAAACGATCCTGGTCGCAGGAATATCACAACTTCGGCTGCTCAATGCCAGGACACAGATGCGGACAATTATCGTTTAAGTAAGCGTATAATGAAGAAATACAAGGTTAATCCTAAAAAATCAACCAAAAACGAGACTTTCATTTCGCCGGATGTGAAGAAGCGTGGCATGGGCTCCGACGTACTCCATAGGCAACGTAAAAGTTCTGAAACCAATCCAACAAAGTTTCCTCTCGATATTCAAGGGAACCCTCGTCACACCGAACAGAAGACGACACCAAAGGCCAACATGAGTATTATTTCCGATACCGATTGGAACGTGACCCCAAACCCGAGCCCAGACGACGTCTTAATGGGTTCTAAAAAGGCAGAAATAGATAAAAACTTAGATGATCACAGTGTTGATACGGCAAACATGCCTGGTGGCTCTCCGCTCAAATTCGAGGAAAAAAGTCTAATTGATAAACACGATACAAGGAAGGAAACTAACAACATTGAAATTAAAGGTGGATCCAGATACTGCTTAATGAAATTGAAAGCCATTAAGGGCATTGGAATAGACAACGAAAGTGGCAAGCGAAGATTTAGTGCCTTGGGTCGACAGCTGAGCCAGAACATTAGTAAGTATATATAAATATGTATATACATATATATGAATGTATGTATATCAGCATGAGTAGATTGTAGGCCTTAAACAGCTTATTATGAAATAGATTAGCACCATTACTCACGCCCCCCTATGGGACATTCAATGTCATATCGAGGTGAATGACAGTTGCGTTATATAGATTACCAGAATAAATCAAACTATAAATATTTAATATTCACACTCAGCTACACACACATATTTGCTGTCGTTGATAATGCGAATATACATAGTACACATGGCAATAAGACATTGGGTAATTAGGTTATTTGTAAGTCAACATCAAATCACTAACAAATATATTTTGTGCAGTTTTTGCTTTTTTCAGAACTGACAAAAATGCTAAGGACCGGTCTTAAGGAATACCTTGCGACAACCAATGAAAAAAGCCATTAAACAAGCGAAAAAAACACAAAGACGAAGTCAAGCCTCTAAGCAATTTATGATATTTAAATTTTTCACGTTTTAATAGCATTTTTTTTCAATAAAATTAAAAAGAAAAAGTTATTTAATGAAGAATAAATAAGTTTGGGTTGTAAATTATTTTTAATTTTTCTGCAATCAATTATTATCGACTAGATATATTTGCTATAATTTTTTGAATAGTGATATGATAAAATGTACAAACTAAAAACCTTATCCCATTGAAAAGTTGCAAAAAATCATATTTCAAATACTAGAGACATGTGCTTAAATGTACGCATTTGAATATATACTTACTCTAAATATTTCCTACATGTATTTCTAACAAGTATTTCTTACAAGTATTTTTTACAAGTAATTCCTCTAAGTAATTCCTCTAATATTTCTTCTAAGTATTTTTATTTCGTGTTTACTTACGTATTTCTTTTACGTATTTACATTACGTTTTTCCATCACGTATTTCATTACGTATTTCCTCACTTCACTATACTACACTAGACCAGTGACCCCTAATAGGTCTGGGCGACTGAAGAACTGTTGCAGCAGCGGCCCTTTATATAGGGCAACTTTCACTCGAAGCAAAAGTCGCGCTCATATGTTGAGGCCGGCGCCAGGTAGTGGTCGTATCAGTAGAGCTTTAAGAGACCAATCTTAAACACTCTCTGCTGCTTCAAGCACTCTAGCTTCGTTTTACTCAAATATAAATAGAAAACTGCTGCATGCAAAGAGACAACTTAAACGATCTTTAGTTCTTCTTCGGGAGACAAACAAAAAATCTGATTATTGCAATTCTCTGTTTATGTATACGCTCATTATACGCTGAGCCCTTTGAAAGTGGGAGCAGCACATGATTCCAGTCTTACGAGACGTCAGGCAGAAGGCCTACCTAACAAATTGTAGACCTTTAGGCATTAGTGAGTTGCAATATGACATTTCCGACTTATTCGAAGGCTGTACGATATGGTCTATCAAATAAAAATACTAAGAAGAATCAAGGCAGGCACAACAACTATTGTCACTTTTGGAATATTATTGGAGTGAATTACACATATGGTATGTTGGGCACGCATTAAAATTGTAAGTATTAAACCTGAACTAAACATGCTTTTACGCTCTGTTGTAAGCTGCATTTCGCAAGCATTTGCGAAGCCTTTCACGCCTTCCTTTGGCATTGGACTGATGAAAAAGATTGTAAGCTACCATATCCTCATTAGACGTGCTGCTTGCCACAATAGGAATGACAATAATGGTAATCAGATCTGAGATATAGCAAAAACTTTCAATTAGGCTAACAATAAATACATTCAATTATTGCAGAAATCGCGCAAAATGAAACCAATCGTGCTGTGGATAACCTCACAGCTGTTTTATACGGCATCGATGACATGCGCTTGGTACGACACTTGGAGAAGACAATATAAAAAATGTTCACTTATTTAACTTTTCCATATTTCCATATACAGGAGCAACGCCCGATACCCGATATTTCCCCAGAAGGTAAATTAAAATTGTGATTTTTTAATTCATCTTCAGCAGTATTTTCCTACATAAAACTGCATTAGAAGTTTTGATCGAAATGGACAGCGTTGGGATTTGCGGATCAGATGTTCATTACTTAACTAAAGGCCGTATCGGCCACTTTGTGGTGACCA